AAACGGGAGTGGGAGAAGAGAAAGGTGGGGGTCGTGGGAACGGAGTTGGGTGCGCGCCTTGCCAGGTTGATCGACCCGTGGGGGTGGCGAGAATAAGGGGGTGGAAAGGATGAGCGGGAAGAATGCAAAGGAAGGAAAATGGTGGTGGTGAGGGGTTTGCGTCGGTGTTTGTGCAGATGCAGATTCCTGTGTGGATGATTTTGTTTTGTTTTTAAGATAAAAGCAACCTATTATGTGTATTTCGGAAATGCTTGTAATGGATATTAACCGAAATACTTTTACCTCAGCAGTGAAGTGTCCTAAAGGAAGGGCCTCTCCTTCCCCATAACTCCCCTTCCCCTGCCTCAAGTGCTTATTCCACTACTGGGGTTTGAAATTTGACAACTGGCCAAACCTCTTAGCTGAACCTCTTGCTTCAACCTGAGGGGGGAGACTTTCTTTGTTTCTTTCCGCCTTTTTCTGCTTGGTTTTCAAAGCTGAAAATGCAAGAGAGTTTATGTATTTGTAAATTGCATTTCCTTATTAAAAGGCAAAAGACTAGAAATGCTCATTTTACAAGAATAGTTTAGAAAACCGTATTTCTGTCTACGGTATTAATCTTTTAAAAAATAAATCGCATTCAGATTGAAAAAAATTCATAGAAACCAATTGTTTTTATTCAGAAGGAAGCTTTTAATTTCAACGAACTTCACTTCCAAGTGACCATGCCTAGCTTTGCACCTAATCAATTACGGAAGCAATTTAATTGTAAGTGTTCTGAGTAGTGGTCTCCAACAGGATCCTTTTCATTCAAGCTGCAGAAAAGGGAGCTCTAGTTTCTCAGTGGGTGGACAGCTTCCTTTGTTTCTGTATGCAGTGACATCACTGTCTGACATTCCTCTTTTCTTATTACCTTGTGAAGCCAGAGATGACCACCCTACGCATACAATATTTTTGCCTTAGCTTATTCTGCTTTTGAAATTTTTAACTCAGTAATAACCAAAAATTAATGTAGAACTTTTTGATGGCAATATATGTACTGTATCTTATTTCTTTCCAATCTTCACAGATACCAGAATGGGAAGTTGGATATTTCTTCTCTTGATCTTTCTGCTATCTCCTTCCCGTGGTTTCTTTTAAAAAGAGCAAATTCACAACTTTTTAAATTTATTAGAGCTATATATTGAACATAGTAGCTTTTGCATGTCTTTTCAGGAGCATTTTGTGTTGATATTGTGTGAGCAGAACTTAAAAATTAAATGAACAAAACTCAGTCAATTGGATCCAGGGCAGAATCTCACTTGTCCTGGAGGAAAGAGATGGGATCTTCACTGGTCTCCTTTTTACATATAGTTCCTTGTACTTTGTAAAAAGCTGATTTGGGAACCTAGAGAACCCTTAGAGAAGTGTGCCATAAAGCTTGCTTGAAGATAGGAGAATTGCAAAGATTTTCCTCTACTGGCTTCCTGTGCTGGATCCTTGTACCTTCAATGGAAAGAAGCTACCTTCTGGACCCAAACCTGTGTTCACTTCTTGCTCCTACTCAACATTCCCATTCTGACAAAGACATTGAACTTGCACTTGTTCTAATGTAACATGTCATTAGTGTGCAATCAGGTGGGAATTTTGCCTGTTGTTTGGTCTGCTGTTTGGATAGGTTGGTTTGTTCCTTTTTCCAATGATCACATGGCATAATTGTTGGAGCGAACTAGCCCATACCTAGAACTTTCTTATCTGTACCTTTCTGAGCCCCTGTCAAGGGCTCCTCCTTTTTGACGTGGGTAGGATCACTCCATTTTGGTTCATTTCCAAAGTGTATGATCGCTGGAAATGAATCAAAGTGAACCGCTCCTTGGCACATTTGCCATATTGTGAAAAGTTTTAAGAAGAGAGCCATTTCAAGATACTGGCATGTTAAACACTTCCTCTACTCCTACCTGGAAGGAGCTAGTTGGTAATTGATTCAGCTGCTAGTACATTCTTGACCAGACCTTTAGGACAAGCAAGAGAAAAGGGGAAAGGGCCCCTCGTTGCCCCCTCATGTTGCCTTCCACTTTTGAGAGGAAGGTTTCAATATTTTAATATTTTTATAAGCAGTACAGTGTATCTACGGTGCCCTAATATATATACAAAAATTCTTCTGCTCCTCCATTGAGCTGAGGAAGTGCTTAATTTGCCAATATTCCAAAGTGACTCTCTTCTTAAGTCATTTCACAATATGGCAAATTGGCAGCTGAAGCAGGCAGACCAAATATAGGGTCATGAGGTCTAGTATGTCATTTGGATGCAAGAATCACATCAAATGGCATGCCAAACTTCTACTCAATCCCAAGTGATTCTATTTAGCCCACACCAGCCTGATCCAAAAGAACCCATGTAGCCAAGCCCTTTTATTTGTGTCTTGTTTCCAGAAGAAATATAAACAAAATGAAGTATATTCTGAAAACCTAAGCAATTGTGTGTATATATTTTATTAAGAGTAAATGATTTCTTGCTTTATTGTCAACATTTGCTTATTTTTTCAGGATATGGGTTAGAATGTTTTTCTTGAGAAGCTAGCTATTGATGAGCTCCCACTCTTGAATGGCAGTTTATACTATCATCCTAAATGTATACCCAGAAGTAAGATCTACTGAGTTTATCAAGATATATCTCCAAGTAAGTGTCTATAGGGTTGCAGCCTGGAATCTTTTAATGTAGTCTGGTAGAGTGTTTCTTTTAAAATGCTAGTCATAGTCCAGGTAAGTCACTTAGGGATGCAGAAGAGATTGTGCATCTGGTATTTTTCATTTATTTTAACAGCAGCAGCATTTGAATTTACTCTTGAATTTACATGGGAGGGTATTGTTTTGTATGTGCATAAATCTGAAATGAACTCTTGTCCGAATCTTAGTTAGTACATTGAAAGAATCTATTTCCATCACCAGTATCCTATGTCTAATCCTAACCAAAGTAAACTAATTTACTCAGTGGAATTTGCATCAGTCTTGACTTACTGTTCAACAATTGATCCACTGTGGCTACTCCTAGGATGATTAGCTGTAGGACACTGGCTCATGTATTTAGCATCATGGCATGCATGTTATCCAAGAATTTCACATCACTCATACGAGCAGAATTACAGGAAGTATTAACATAAGAGTCATCTACAAGTATTACATTTGCAAATTATATATTATCTTTTTAAAATGAAGAATGGAGGAATTTTGAGCTGTTACATCATGTGTACAAATATCACAAATCCTACAAGGGGGACTTCCTTTGAAGTCAGCAAGTTCAGTATTGTCCTATAAGGTAGTTGCTGTTGTACACATTTACTTAAGAATCAGTCATGCTGGATTCCTTGGGACATCGGAATAAACATATATAGGATAGCTCTGTACAACTTCAGTCATGTGCATATATATCTAGGAGTGAGCTTAATTTAGCTCAGTGAAATGTATTTCCAGTAAATCCTGTTGAATTTAATGGAACTTACAAACAAGCATAGGGATGGTATTAAATGCTGCAGCCTTTACGCGCTCACAAGAGAGTCAGTCTAGTGACCTGTTTCTGAGTAAATATACTCATTTTATATTAGAAATCAAAGGCACTACAAACCTTTGAGTATCATGTTATTCCTTAACATATGCAAGAACCAGTATATAGCCATTAATGGGGAAAATCTGCATACGTGGAATATTGTTAAAGCTCTTTACAGCTGTCTAACTCCAGAAGAGAGAGAAAGGGAGATGATTTCCAAGCTGAAGTTTTGTGTTTCTAGAGCTCATTTAAGTCATACATGTACAACAAAATACACAGATCACTTAGGGGAAAAAGTGTGCCTGGGTCTATGGAAAAAAAGGACCACTAAGATAGGTGGATGGGTGAGGGAGACAAAGACCTTGTGGGTCTGTGAGTGAAATGATGGGGGGGCATCACAGTGGTGGCAGGAAATCCAGGGATTTCTAACCGTTGTGAAATTGGGTGTATCTGCTAGTCAGTAATTGTTCAGGATGGGTTATGTTGGCCATAACGTGCAACTTCCAAGATACCATTTTGTGGGCATTGCAGAAAATATTGGCACCCTAATGCTTTACATGGGATTCACAGTGTGGTGTGGTGGATAGAGTAACGAATTAGGTCTTTGGAGAACAGGGTTCAAATCCCTACATGGCCCTGGAAACTCACTGGAGTAGAACTGGTAAGACAACTCCTTAAATATCTCACTTACCTTGAAAGCCTTATTAGGGTCACCATAAATCAGTTCTGGCATGAACACACATAGACACAATGCTGTACACATCTACTCAGAGGATTTCACTATATTCACTTGGATTTATTTCCTACTAGGAGCAGTCTGGACAGAAATCTAAAGAACTGATAACCTCAGTTATTTGTGGATCATATAATATATATTTATACTAGCTTATATAGATGTGCTTTCTTGGAATATGTATAGTCATTGATATTTCATAGGATGGATTATGTATTTCTAGTTTTTGCTTTTAATTTATTTGTTTTATTTCTATCCCATCTTTCTCCCCAAAAGGACCCAAGGCAGCTCTTCCCCTCTCCTCCTTTTTAAAAATAATAGAGAATTCTGTGGAACATCCAAGACCAATAACATTGAAAATGGGTACCTTTTTTGCTACAGTTTTTTTTTTTGCAATCTTCTGTACTAGGCTGCTACAAGTCATTACAGTGAATATTTAATACAGAGTTTGCTGTATTAAATCACATTGTTTCCCTCAGTTGTTATGATTGATTATACTGAAGATTTTCTGCCCTTAAACAGATAATAACTAGCATTATGAAAAGAGCACAGGACATC